TTATTATTTTTTCTCGTCGTGATTAAAACGGTATTCGCGAATGATTTAAAAAAAAAAAAAAAAAACGTATGATGAAGGAAACGTTTACTTTGTGTGTTCTCTCTCCCGAGGGAAAATTGGCAAAGGGATTTTTCTCCTCCCCCCTCCTTAACATCTCGTCATAAATATTAAACGTTTTGTTATTGATAACGATAACGATAACAAACAAAACAAAACAAAAAATATATAATTTTAATACAAACGAATTTGATGTGTGTTTGTGTTGTTTCCATTGAGTTGTCGATTGTTTGATTGTAAGAAGAGGTCAACCGTTAAATAATGAGATGAAAAAGATATATTATTAATAATGATAATAATAAGAGAACGAAAGGTTTTTTTTTTTGGTTGTTGTGTTGTTGTTGTCGTTACGGTGGTTGCGGTGATGGAAAATCGGTGGAAAATCAGATTGTTTGCAAAGTTCGTTTCCGTTTATTTATTTTAAATTTTTTGATTTTTCCGGAAGTAGTTTTATTTTTTTGTCGCAAAAATTTCACGAAAATCATTTCCGGTTAAGAAAAATTATCTGTTGTTTTCGCGACAACCAATTTAAAAAATTACATAACAAACGCAAATCGTTTGTTGTTATCTTCGATTATTTATTACCGTAATTATTAATTTATTATTTTTAAATAATTTTGTTTTTCCCACCAAAAATATTTTTTATATTATTATTATTATTATTATTATTATTATTATTATTATTATTATTATTATTATTATTATTATTATTATTATTAAAATTTTATTAACTCATGTCACTCGATCGTTTGAAAATTCGAAAAGTAATTTTTTTTTTTTTTGTGTTATCGACAAATGCCGATGATTATTTAATTACTATCGATTATGATTGATTGATTGTCTGTTTGTTTGTTTATTCGTCTGACATAATAATAATAATAATGATCGATCGATCGATAGATCGATAGATCGAATTTAAATATTTCCAAAGAAAAAAAAAAATTATTGATTTTTTTTAACAAACAATAATTTTCGCGTTTGTTATTTATTTAAAAAAAAAAAATTTTTTTTTGCGTTATTATTATTATTATTATTATTATTATTATTATTATTATTATTATTATTATTATTATTAAAATTAAGAAAATTTAAAAAAACGTACCTTAAATTTTTTTTATATGTAAAAGCGTTTGTGTGTGTGTGAGAATACATAAAAATACGTGGTTGTAGTTGTTGTTTGACGTCTTCTTTTTCTTCTTACACTTGATTTTCTTAACGTGAATATTTCATTATCGATTATTTATTTATCACTCGAACAAAAATATTATTATTAATTCGCACACAAAAAAAAATTTTTTTTAAAACAAAAAAAACGACGATGATAATAATAATAATAATAAAAGGAATACGAAGAAAAAAAAAAAACAATTTTTGCCTCAAGTTATTTACAACAACGGCGGCAGGTAAACCATGAATGTGATCAATTTAAGTGTCTTCGGCCCGCGGGGCGCTCATACTTTATACTATGAAGTAAATGTGACGTCATAACGGGCTAACGGGAGTCATCGGGTAGCCCCCTACCTTATTTTCTTAGATATCGGTTTTCACCGAAAGGTATTCACAGGTTGGGGGATCAATAAAAAAAGAAGAAATTTCTCGCGCACCACCACCGATTCATGATTATGTACACGGGTTTTTTTTTTCTCAAGGAAAAAAAAAATTTTTTAAATGAACTATTTTGTTAACTTATTAACGATGAGTCTTCGTGTTTTCTTATAATTCTCATTTTTTAAACTCGGATACCTGAAAATGCATATGGTAAACATTTAACGCATCATTTCGTTAAGGAAAAATTTAAAAAAATGAAGATGATGATTTTATTTTTCTCTCTCTCTCTCGTTCGGATTTATACTATCGCCATCAACGGATCCGGAGGGATGCTGTTGTAAATTTACAAAAAAAAAAAAAAAATTTGTAAAATTTATCGTGAGAAGAAAGAAAATTTGCATTTTTCATTGCAAACTATTAACTTTCAAAATGCATTTATAAATATTAATCATAGCTACTGCACTACCTTGAAAAATAATATTTATCATTGATAAATTGAAGAACTTTGACCTTCGAACGTATCTGTCGGCCTTCGAATAACCTTTTGTTAAACAGACATAATATCCAACCCGCGCGCTCGTTAATTTTTTTTTTATTATTTATTAATTTTATTCAGAAAATTAACAACAACAACAACGCAAAATGAAAATGTAGGAGCCATGATATTTTCCACGCATAATTTTTCATAAGTTTGCAAGCCTGAGGAGAAAAAAAAAAAAAAAAATTTCGTTACGTTCGAATCAACATTTCTATGAACCGTTACAAAACGTTTTTTTTTAAAAAATAATTTTCTGTGTAATTCCTTCGTCATCATTCTCACACACATAATTTTTTTAAAACGGCTGAAAAATAATGATAATGATAATAATGATAATAGAAAATCAAAATGGGAGCGAATGAAGGGGGAAAAAAAAAAAATTTATTTATTACATTTAAATAACTTTAATAATTTTTATTTATATTTTTTTTAATAGGTAACAAACAATCGGGTAATAATTAATTATAAAAGGTTTTTTAATTTTATTACGTAATTATTATACCGGTTTGTCTTTAATAGAGTTTAATAAGGTCAAAAGAAAAACCCTTGGAAAAGTTTTCGAGTATAAAATATCGGTTGATTTGTTAAAAGCAGAAGAAAAATTCGGGTCGCGAATATTAATAATTTTTCTCATGTTGAAAATTATTTTTTAAAAATTTGCGTGGGCGTTGAGTTTAAAAGGCGTTACCCTAAACCTAATTACCTCAAAAGGTTGGCAAACATGGCACGGACGATGGTGTGTGTATCCGTTTTTCATTTATTTTTAACTTTGGAAAGTTTACGAAAATTTCCGCCTGATTTTGAAAAACGCGCAATTCGAATTTATTAATTTATTACTTATGTAAATAATTAATAAAACAATTATTTATTTATTTTAAATTTAAACAAAAAAAAAAAAACGGTTAATTTTAAAATTGTAAAATTTTACGTCGCCATTTTTAGTAAAAGCCTTTCCCTTAATTTCAGACTACGATTTTCGAAAATGACGTCAGCGAAAATAAATAATAATGATAATAAATTTTAAAAAAAAAAAATTTTTTGGGGAGCCAACGGCACGTGGTGTTCCCAAGCGGTCACCCATCCAAGTACTAACCACGCCCGATGCTGCTTAACTTCGGTGATCGGACGAGAACCGGTGTGTTCAGCATGGTATGGCCGTTGACGGGAATCTGGGGATGATTTAATCAATGTAGATCGTTACGGGAACGTAATGCGTGGTTGTCACGTGCTTCATATTCCCCCCTCCTTTCCCCGACGAATATAGCATTTAAACTATAAAATTTATTATTATTATTACGATCGATACGTTTGACACGGAAATACACTAAAAAAAAACCGTTTTTTTTTTAAATTTACTTATTTATTTATATTTTTTCCTGTTTCAAACGTATTATTGCTCGTAATAATAATAATAATAATAGTAAAAGGAGAATTACAATGTGTGATAAGTTAAACAGTAAATTTTTAGGTTTGAATAGAAGTGTGAAAGAGAAAAAAAAAATGGCGTCACCTTTTTCATACCTCGCG